GACAAAAATTACTTCTTGAACGGAAAGCGATATTCCGCACCCGCAACGCGATTTTCCGCTCCATGAGAACTAGGTTTTACATGGAAAACTTGCCTGGTATATTTAGATGATGTCATGATCATGGGAAATTGGTTTCAAGAACATCTCAATAACCTTAAAGAAGTTTCTGACCGCTCCCGGAATGCCAACTTAAAACACAATCCAAATAAGTGTTTTCTATTTCAAAATAAAGTGGAATTCTTAGGTCTCGTGGTATCTGGAGATGGCATAGTTATGGAAGGAAAGATAGATGACAAAGCCACGCGACAAACATAAACTAAAGAGTTTTCTGGGATTATGTTTTTATTATCGAAGATTTGTGGAGGGGTTTCGCCAATATAGTTGCTCCGCTTCATCGATTAACGGAAGAAAAATAAACATTCAATTGGACCCAAGAATGCGATTCCGCTCTCAGTAAATTAAAAGGAGCATTATGTACGAGCCCAGTGTTGTCCTATCCCGATCAGAAAGGCATGTTGATTTTGGACACAGATGCAAGCAACACCAGTATTGGAGCTGTCCTTTCACAAATCCAAAATTCACAAGAGCACGTCGTAGAGTACTACAACAGAACCGTATCAAAGCCAGAACGAAATTATTGTGTCACCAGAAGAGAGTTGCTCATCATAGTAAAAGCAGTCGACCATTTCCATAAGTAGCTCGACGGGCGTAAGTTTCTGATTCGAACGAATCACTCCCGAAAGACAGCTTGCTAGATGGATTGGGAAATTGCAGCAATACTATACATCGACCTGGAAACCTGCATAAAAATGCTGACGCTCTGTCTAGGCGGCCATGTAAAAAAGATTGCAAGCATTGTCAAAGAATCGATATGCATGAGAAAAACCCTAGTCCAGTTGTGAGAGGAACGGGCCTGATCGTTGATGATGAATGGACTACCAAACAAATGAGAGAAGATCAGGAGGCACACCAGGACATTGGGCAAATTCTACATCTTGAAGAAAATGATGGATGTAGGCCAGAATGGAGGCCGGTGTCGAACAAGAGTTTGATTTACAAAGCGTTGTGGGCTCAGTGGAACCCTTTAGCCGTAGAAAATGGTTGACTGAAAAGAGTTCGAGAAAGTGCCGATGAGAAAACCACGAAGAGCCAACTAGTTATTCCAAAAGATCGAGCAGAAGATGTATTAAAAGAAATACATGATGGAACTTCACGGGCACTGGTGCCGTAAATGCGACATTTGTGCTACCAGTAAAGGCCCTGAACTAAGATCTCGGGGCCCGATAAAACAGTACAACGTCGGTCTCCCATTTGAACGAATAGCGATAGATGTTGCCGGACCATTCCGTGAATCAGAGCGTAGTAACAAATACATCTTGGTTATCATGGATTACTTCAATAAATGGCCAGAAGTTTCCACTATTTCCAATCAAGAAGCCATCACTATTGCCCAGGTGCTAGTGGACGAAGTTTTCAGTCGTCATGGTGTGCCACTAGAGTTGCATTCAGATCAGGGACGAAATTTCGAATCTACCATCTTTAAGAAAATTTGCGAGATCATGGGTATTCGTAAGACAAGGACAACACCTATACATCCACAGTCTGATGGCATGGTAGAACGATTTAATAAGTCCATAGAGGAACACCTGACAAAAGTGGTCGCAAAGAACCAGCGAGATTGGGACAAACACTTGCCTCTATTTTCAATAGCTTACAGAGCAGCTATCCACGAGTCAACAGGTGAAAGTCCAGCTAGAATCGTTTTTGGAAGGGAACTCAAGTTACCTTGCGATTTGATGTTTGGAATACCTGAAGGAGAACAAAAAGAAATTCGAGATTAAGCCGATGAAGTAAGGACACGACTTCTGGGGATACATGATTTTAATGCTCGGGAGCATATTCAGCTGGCCAGTGACCGAATGAAGATCAGATACGACTTGAAAGCCAATTCAGCCGAATTTCAAGAAGGTGATCTAGTGTGGCTGTGTAAACCAGCAAGAAAGAAACGAGTGTCGCCAAAATTGTCTTCAGCATGGGAAGGACCGTACAGAATAATCAAAAGGATTAATGATCTGGTTTATCGAGTTCAGCGCAACACCAGGAGTAAGATGAAAGTTGGACCGATTGACGAAATATCATGGGCGCGAAGTTGTTCGGGACGTTCAACCTTAAGAGGAGGGCAGTGTCGCGAAAATCTGGCGGAAGCGCCAGGGTGCTGATTCTAAATTGTTACGGTGCTTTTCAGGAAGGAGAATTGATTGCGGATATAAAAAGGCCGGTATTAGTTTGTAGTTTTTAAATTTAGGATTGACTGTGATATGATTTAGATAGTGATTATTGTTGAGAGTTGCAAAGAGTTTAGTTGTTTGAGTAAATTAGTGAAGTAATTAGTGTCAGAGTGTATAGTAACGTGAAATAAATTATTGTTGTGTTGATTGGACTTTGATTTGGATAATTTGGAATAAACGAACCCATGATTTATGTCACGCACCCTAGAGCCGTGACAATACATACATACCAAACTAACCCATGTCATGCTTAAGCTCAAGTTTAGTAAGTACTCTTGTGGTCGCCTATATTTAATTTTTGTTTCAAAAGTAGAAAACAGCAAGAATTTCCACAATTTTGGTAATTTCACATACTTCTAGTAATTACTTATCCACTGGGTTGAAACTCTTGAGAAATACATTATGCAATGATGGTATTCGCAGAAATAGTGAACAAATTTCTAAACACAACTCTTGGTATGCCTTTTAAAAACTGCAATACCAACAGGTTTTTGAAATCTTTGCCTTAACCTTCATAACGCTTATGCGAATTTAAACTCAAGGGCGTTCACAATATTCAAGGCAGATGCCGTCGTTAGTTAAATGAAGTAACTGGTATTAAATTATTGATCACCAATTTGCCTTCAAGTCCCTTGAGTTCAACTCTCTTGGAATGCACATTTGGTTCAATCACTCATCCATCTGCAGTATATTAAAACTACCTGTTTATTTGAAAATATGCCTCTTCCCAAAAACGTTTGCAGGTTGCTTTTTGTAGCATTTGATAACGAGAGGATGAAGATAACCCACTTGCTGTTAAAAGCAAATTTTCATCTTCTTGATAAAAGCACCATATGATGATATATGAACACTGAGCTACCAAAACAACGGTTCTCTGAATTTTCCCAATAGTTTGTGATCAATTTTGACTACTGTAAATTTTAATAACTCTTGTAATTCACATAAAGAAACAGGCAAGAGAACTGTGGGGCTATGTAAATAAGATATAGGCATACAGAAGTGTTGCCAAACAAAGAATGCACCAACACATATTTTTACAACATGATCTCGGTCCCGCAAAAACACAGATCAACACAGATCATACAAAAAAAATCTAGGAATTAAAATAAACAAACCCCACATCTCACCCAAATCTAATTATTGTGAATAGGCCAGTACAATTCAATTGAGCTATGTGATTATGTGAGGGTTCTCAAAAACCTTTCTCTGGACTGCCTGAATGCTCAGGTAGGTGAGGTAGGTTTATATTCTTGTGGTTCAAATAGAACATTTTTTTTTTCCTCGGTACAGAATGGCAATTTTATGGTGTGTTTGTGAACTTTCCTGTTCCGTTAATACAAATTCTAATTAAAGAATTGATGTTTGTTTGTTTTCAGAAAGGGAGTTTATTTTTCATTTCTGAAGTCCTAAACCCATTATATCTGCTTTTTTGCAATTTTTGGTACTGATTTCAGATCAGACTGTATAAATTATAGGTTTTTAAACTATGAAAAAAAAAGTAAGTATCCTTTAAAAGCTCAATTAGCTGACTTAATTAAGATTTTTTTTATTGATGGCTTTTCCTAATATTAATTAGGCAGGAATTTTTTCCCACTTAAGTAATTTTTGTTGATTGAAATGAAACCCGTTTGATAGAATAATGAAGAGACATCATGATTTAAGATAATACCATATAAACTACATGTCTCACTGAAAATATATATGTATTAAAAATAAAAAAATCAGAGGTCAACAAACTTTTAACTGATGGTCAATCAACAGCTTCCAATTTTTTTTAACTGGCCTTCAACAAACAAGATAGCCATCTAAAGAATTAGAAACTAGTCCAAATAAGTTTTAATATGCAACTTTTTTATTCCAGATTTATATTGCATCAATATTGAACATCGAGTGTTTATCAAATAAATATTAAGCCACAGTAAAATTGAAAAAACAAACAGCCAGTGAGAGCACCTTATATATTTTCAATAAACTGAGTAAATACTACAGATCGACGCAAGAGGGCCTCTTATATTTTTAGACACAAATAGAACGCCCCAGTGTGGCGAAAAACTGTTGACTCCTGGGTTTGTTTGCTCAAAGCTTTGACGTCAGAACTTGTGGCGAAGTGGACTTGAATTACTTCGAAATCGGTCAAAACTCAAAAAGCATTGCCAGTTTAGTGTTTGAGCAATGTAGCAAGTAAACTTAATCTTAATACAATTTGAACTCTACAATGAAATGGTTGACAAAGTAAAATGGAAATGCAAGCTTTAAAATAGGTCGCTAACCTTTGCAAAATTCAATTTGCAAGCACTCTGTCAATTCTACTGTATAGGTTAACAAAGTGGCAATTGAACCAATCTAAATACAGATAAAACACTGCAAACAAGAGACTACCTATTTGTCTAAGCTTTACATTTCCTGCTAAAAATTTATATTATAATATATTTTTATTGCTATTTGTGTGGATTCATAAGAAAAAAATAAGTATAGTATAATCTGTAATGTCAATATTTAAGCTGATTTAAGCATGCATTAAACAAAAGGCACATGAAATCATAGGATCATTTGAAAAATAATAATCACTTTTCTTTTTTTTTCCGAAATGTGTAATTTTTCTCCACTGTTTCTTATAATAGAAGTCCTATGTATGTTTTTCCTGTGTATTGTTCGCCCGTGCTTTGTAAGAGTTCCACTTGTTGAATAAATTAATATCTTTCTGAAATTAACATGGTAGAAAGAAAAATCAATCAAGTAGGTAATATTCGTTTGGCAATTCATTTGAAAATTTTTAAAAAATTCCTTTGAACTGATTACTCAAGGTCTACACTTTCAATTCTTGCTCTTCAAATTTGTTCTCACATTCTTGTTTTTACTTCTCTAGACTTAATAAAGTAGGTACCCAACACATAAATAAATAATAAATGCGGAGTCAATAACCCCATAATTAGTTCTTATCTGGAAAAATAACTAGTTTTATCAACAATTAACAGCCTACAATAATACCCCTGATATTGGAGACTAAAACAAGTCAACGAGGCAATTAATCAGATGCTTTTTTTTTAACTGGAAGGAATAGTCACTAAAAGCAAAAAATGAAATGTTAATTTATTTTTGAGACTAATGAACTGAATAATAAAAAATATTCACAAAATTACAAAAAAAACTGAGATTTTTATTTAAGAGCGGTTACACACGGACGTGGATGTCTTAATACATATACGTGCATACATCAACGTGCGAACAACAACGTGCATGGCGCTTCTGTACAGACGCTCGCACAAAACTGCAGTCTTGCTATTCTTGCTACAGTGTTCCGAGTGTGCATACAAAATTGCACATTCAAAAACGCGACGGTATTTTGCATAAAGTCTGTTTTTTTTTTAAAGATAAAAGTCAAAATGACATTATGTTGGTAATACAATGTAAAATTGTCAATGCTTTCAAATTTTTTTTGTAGAAAAGGCTTGTGTTGCCAACATAGTTACTAAATTTTTGACTTGGGGAATTATCTTTAAAAAAAAACAGATTTTACACATTGATGTTTTTGTTTGCACGTTCATGTATGTGCGTACATGTTTTCAGACATCCACGTCCGTGTGTAACCGCCTTAAAGGACAGGTAATATAAAACTATTTTGACAGATAACTAAAATTACTGAAAAGTAACGTCATCAGAAATGTTAGCTATTAGTTATTATGTCAAAAAAGTTTTATAATACCCATCCTAATATATACAAGTTGTTTACTACTTTCCCTTATTTTTATCAAAAATAAATAAAAATCGATTCTGTTGTGTCTCATTTGTGCGCTAAGGTGGAACAAACAAATTTATTGGCATATTTATGTGGGAGGCCTGTCTTATATCATATTTCATTGTATGAAATAATAAATAAAAACTGAATGGGCAAAATGAACAGGCATAATATGAGGGGGCCAGGGTAGAAGTGAAAAAAAGTCATTTATGTTGAATAAATACACAACTTAATAACAGTACAAGATTGTTAACATATCTGTTATAAATGTTGGTACCTATCTTTCGAGGTATCTTTCTTGTATTTTGTATTTTTCTTGGCTTAATGCTGCCATCTATTATGGGAATGGCATAACAACTATAATAAATGCATTTATTTATGTAGGATTGTATTTTATTGATTATAAAAATAGTTATGAGATTTCAAGGCAGATTTTGGTCAATAATTACCAGAAAAAGCAGTGGGATTTTATATTATTATTAGATCAGCAGGGCTGGGAATCTGTAACGGATAGAGATCGTTATCCCTATCGCTATGGCACTTGCATCAATAGAAATGGAGAAATTTATCTCTATTTGTTACAGAGTCCCAGCCCTGAACAGAAGTATACCTAATCTTGACTTGTGCGACTATTATTTTTCACTTGGCTACTCATAACTATGTAGTTACAAAAAAAATAGCTTTGATTGCATAATAGTCTCTAGCCTTTTATCAAATATATTGTAAGGTAACGCATCCGTCAGGATGTCAAGAATCCAACCAAACTGTACAGAATAACTTGGAATCTAGTAAATTCTACTTTAATCGGGCAAATAAGATTATCGCTTTTATTCTGGATTCTACACGAATAGATTGCGGGTATATAAAGGCCGGTATTAGTTAGAAGTTTTAGGTTTAATATTGTCTGTGATGAGATTTAGATAGTGATTATTGTTGAGAATTGTAAAGATTTTAGTTTGAGTTAATTAGTGAAGTAATTAGTGTCGGAGAGTATAGTAAAGTAACGTAGAATAAATTATTGTTGTGTTAATTGGACTTTGATTTTTGAATAAACGAACCCAAGATTTCTGTCACGCATACCAGAGCTGTGACAATATAATATAATCTCAGTACAGTGCATTTTTTACATCATCAGGCAACTCATTAAAAAGCCGAAGCCGCTCAGAACAGTGTCTTCTAGGTCCTTATTCTCGAAAGAGGGGAGCAGCGTTTTCATGAGAACAAAGGATCTGCCTTAGTCAACCATAAGTAGTTATATTTCCATAACACTGACAAAAGGCAAAGCAATCGTTCTCGTGAGAACGATAGCACTCAGAACTAGTTCGGAATTATTCTGCACATGTTCACGTTATAAAACGCATTTTCGTTTCTTCAGAATTGTAATCGAATTGTGTTGACACCGTTTTGGTTTATTTTTAACTATATAAGAACGATTCTGGGATTATTCAATTAAACGGTTCTCACAGTTCTTGTTCTGAAGAAGGAACTGTTTCGGAATATTGTGATAGGCGGCTTGTTTCAGTTTTTTTGGTTCCGAATCGGTTCAGAATTAGTATTAAAACAGTCCTCCATTATTTTTTGTGCGCAAGCAGTTCTGCGCAATCCCAGAACCGTTCCAAATTTTGAACCAAAACAAAGCACTCTTGCGCTGACAAACGAATTCCTCATGATGAAAGGTATTTATAATGCCTGTTAGGAGTCTACTCCTCAATAGAACACTATAGATACAGAAGAATTGCGTGATTTAATTTACCTCTAATGTGATAAACTATGCTAAATATCTCTACAAAGGCGATATCTAAAAAATGCAGCAAGCAATTTTTTTGGTTCTCAATTATGCAAGAATAATTTATTCTAGGTCATTGTAAAATTGTAGAGTCTCTCCCATTGAAATAAATATTTGCCTAAGAGCAACTATTTTGACAAAATAACTAAAACTCAAACTAAAAGTTAACTTCTGGAATGACGTTACTTCTCAGTAATTCCAGAAGTTACTGTTCGAGTTATCTGTCAAAATAGTTTGAACTAAATCTATCCAGTTAACTGGACTCAGGCCTCAGCAAAAGGATGCCATTGTTCAAACTGGACATTGTGTTGGTCAATCTAACAATACATATTTTTGTTTCAAGCAATGCAATTTCCGGTCTAGTTAGATCTCTAGTAGAATATGTGAATCCGGTATATGCGCCATCCTATAAATTGATTGTTGACGTTAAGTTATAAAGAATGTTTTCGAGACATGCAGCAAATAAACTACGAATTCCTTTAGAAGTAATAACTTATAATGATTTATGTTTATCAAACTACGAAACCCAGAGGTGTGTGAACCTGGCGCCCGACTTTGACGGATGCTAATAAAAATATGATTTTCTGGAGGTACAAACAAAGTAATTGATTGTACCGAAAATGATTTTGTTTGTACCTCTTTGGAAATGAGGTAAAAACACTTATTTATTCCTCGATCGGCGCTCGATTTCCGAAAAAAGAAAATTCAATGTTTTTCGAGAGGTACAAACGAAGTACTTTATGGTACCAAAAACTATTTTGATTGTACCTCTTCGGAAATGAGGTAAAAACACTTATTTATTCCGCGATCGGCGCTCGATTTCCGAAAAAAGAAAATTCAATGTTTTTCGAGAGGTACAAAAGAAGTACTTTATGGTACCAAAAACTATTTTGATTGTACCTCTTCGGAAATTAGGAAAAAACACTTATTTATTCCGCGATCGGCGCTCGATTTCCGAAAAAAGAAAATTCAATGTTTTTCGAGAGGTACAAACGAAGTACTTTATGGTACCAAAAACTATTTTGATTGTACCTCTTCGGAAATTAGGAAAACACTTATTTATGCCGCGATTGGCGCTCGATTTCTGAAAAAATAAATTTCAATATTTTTCGAGAGGTACAAACGAAGTACTTTATGGTACTACCAAAAAACTATTTTGAGTGTACCTCTTTGGAAATGAGGTAAAAACACTTATTTATTCCGCGATCGGCGCTCGATTTCCGAAAAAAGAAAATTCAATGTTTTTCGAGAGGTACGAACGAAATACTTTATGGTACCAAAAACTATTTTGATTGTACCTCTTCGGAAATGAGAAAAAAATACTTATTTATGCCGCGATCGGCGCTCGATTTCTGAAAAAATAAATTTCAATGTTTTTCGAGAGGTACAAACGAAGTACTTTATGGTACCAAAAACTATTTTGATTGTACCTCTTCGGAAATGAGGTAAAAACACTTATTTATTCCGCGATCGGCGCTCGATTTCCGAAAAAAGAAAATTCAATGTTTTTCGAGAGGTACAAACGAAGTACTTTATGGTACCAAAAACTATTTTGATTATACCTCTTCGGAAATGAGGTAAAAACACTTATTTATTCCGCGATCGGCGCTCGATTTCCGAAAAAAGAAAATTCAATGTTTTTCGAGAGGTACAAAAGAAGTACTTTATGGTACCAAAAACTATTTTGATTGTACCTCTTTGGAAATGAGGAAAAAACACTTATTTATTCCGCGATCGGCGCTCGATTTCCGAAAAAAAAAAATTCAATGTTTTTCGAGAGGTACAAACGAAGTACTTTATGGTACCAAAAACTATTTTGATTGTACCTCTTCGGAAATGAGGTAAAAACACTTATTTATTCCGCGATCGGCGCTCGATTTCCGAAAAAAGAAAATTCAATGTTTTTCGAGAGGTACGAACGAAATACTTTATGGTACCAAAAACTATTTTGATTGTACCTCTTCGGAAATTAGGAAAAAACACTTATTTATTCCGCGATCGGCGCTCGATTTCCGAAAAAAAAAAATTCAATGTTTTTCGAGAGGTACAAACGAAGTACTTTATGGTACCAAAAACTATTTTGATTGTACCTCTTCGGAAATGAGGTAAAAACACTTATTTATTCCGCGATCGGCGCTCGATTTCCGAAAAAAGAAAATTCAATGTTTTTCGAGAGGTACAAACGAAGTACTTTATGGTACCAAAAACTATTTTGATT